CCTGATCTCTTCCTGAACCCCCTCTGGCGATTGTCGATGTTCGTCTTTAGTAATCGCCTTTTCATATGATAAGTACTCGTTAACCCCCCGGGCACGGACCCTTTTAGCACTCCTCTTGGAAGCATACCATTTACGAATGGCCTTCAAACAAGAAGTATTCATGTTGTAGGCTGAGATTTGGGAAGCAGCCTGGTACCACGTACAAAAGCTTAAAGAAGTACGAACGTTGGGCATCTTATGTGGAAGTCGGAATTTTGCTCCAGTACAGCCTGCCACTGAGTAATACCAAGCTCTTTCTCCTTCATACACATTACCTGTGTACGCGAGAGTAGGGTTTGGATTTCCAACATAAATCTGATTAGCCGAATTGCCGGGAAAAGCGATAAGGCTGATACGGTTCAATGAAGCACTTCCTCCCTTGTTGGAAAATAAGATAGCCTAGACGAATATTTATGAGCCACCAGAAGACGCCTCTACTGAGTATGGTAAAAGAATTTCGTCCCGGTGTGTCTTGATAGATTTCTCCATACGCACCGCCCTCGAAAACGGGAAACTTGCAAGCGATCTCGTAATTATAATCCCGCCTAAATATTTCATAGAATTTAACCTGATACCAACCAACCCATTGAGTAGTTTCTAATTGCTGAACAAGAGGAGCCGAGGTATCACTTGATTCAGGAGTCGACATTATCGAAGGGCAGTGCAACACAAACCAAGATACCAAATAAATATATGGCATTGGCACTCGAGGGGTTGGGGTTTGAATGATAGTATTTCCATCTGAGTCCAATTTCTTGACGGCGATAAACTCAGAGGCTAGTTCCCGCAAGCCACTCTACAAGCAGCACACCATGGCTGAAAGAAGATTTAAGGGCCGTCCATGAGCCAGAAGAACAACGGGGTATACTACCTCTACTATAATAGCGTCCACCGGCCTAGTGGGTACCACACAACGCTTCAACCAAAGAGTAAGGAAACCAGCGAATAAAGCCATGTTGGAGATTGGGACTTCTGCCTGATAATGGAAGCTTTTGAAGGTGGTAAAAGCTGGGAAGACATCCTCCTCTACCTTGCAAGTATAGTGGGAGGTCGCATCGTTGATACACTCATTGATTTCCTCAAGAGTACTGGCGGCTAAGCGAGTCACCTCAGCATCCTTGTCCCACAGATTTCGAAAAAGATACTCTGCCCACTGTCCTTGTTTCACACCACTGGCTCTTTTCCCCGTAGTTTGTGCACATATCTGGAAATGGCACATCAACTCCCAATAAGTGTCATAGATCTTGGGGGCGCCATGTTTCAGGATCTCCAATTCCTTATTACCAGGAACAAACTCCTCATAAGGCAGCTCTCCAAAAGACAATCCAGAGATTTCAAACATCTCATGGAGAGCGAAGCCTAATTCACCAACAAGAGTGAAAAAGGTACCGGTGTGAAGATTATAAAATTCTAGCATAGCAAAAAGTCCGCTATAATTTGGAGAAATCCCATATCGAGTGGCTATTATTGGAGTTCTCAACTCTGAAATTCTCAAAGGTTCTTCCAGCTCCTCTAAGACAAAATTTATCATCCGGGTCCACCAGTCTGACTCACTTGAATGTACTCATGTCGGAACCCTGAAATCTTGAGCAGGGAACTCTCCCTTGTCAGAAATGAATTTCCTGATGAAGACCTCTGCCAGCTTAGCAGGTTCACCGACGGGGTGTTCTTTTTTGAATAAACCTGGTTTCAAGGCCACAAAATGATTAAAACCAGCCGGATGAGTGCCACGAGGAGTAATGTGCCCAGTAGCAACACCTCCTTGATTCTGAACGAGTTCCCAATTCATTGACTTTGGGATAGAAGCGCATTGATAATAAGAAATCAGCCACATTCGTTCTAAGTTGGGGAGGAAAAGACGACGGTTGTTGACAACCTTCAGCCATTTGTAGTTACCCTCCGACATCCGCTTGGGGTCCATTTTAACAGAATCCCCAAAGAGGAAAGATGGTTTCTTTTAAATCTCACGCTCGGCGGTTTCAAATTTAACATCCGTAACCAAGGACCTGAGAGTCTCGGGAAAAGCTTGAGTGATGAGTTTCGCCCGCTCTTTGTTGGTGTCCTGGAATATTGGGTACTCTACATGAAAGCTGAAGATTGTATTTTTCTCCGCACCTCCCGCATGATCGAAGTAATGATTGAAAGAAAGAGGCTCATTGGAATAGCACACTTCAAATGGAAAAGAAAATCAGTCAATTAAATAAGGGAGTCTAACTCAAGAAGGCAAGCTCTGGATCCGCGTCCAGATTTTAAACAATAAGGTCCAGACTTGCATTCAAATTCCTAAACGCAGGGTTTCAACGCGCATCCAGAATTCGAAACGCAGGGTTTCAACCCGCGTCCAAAATTCGAAACGCAGGGTTTCAACCCGTATCCAAAATTCGAAACGCAGGGTTCCAACCCGCATTCAAAATTCGAAACGCAGGGTCTGAGCCTGCGTTGAAATATCATCTGTGTTCTAATGGTGGAAGGCAAACCCCCAATAAAAGATTGAGGGGAAGGAATCTGTCAAAATAACTTTCGACTGCCCAAACTTACCGTTAATTGAGGAAGTCGGAGATGATGGGGCGGCGATTTGAACATCCCCGGAGGTTTTAGCCGAAACACCCTGAGCTGGGGCGATCTTTGATTTGGAGGCCAATCTCTTCTTGGGAGCCATTCTAATAGTGACGAAGAAGATATAGAATGGTTAATGAAAGATTTAAGGACGAATTCTTCCTTCGTTGAAGCACCGGAGAAGATGAACATGAACCCTGTTAAGCGGTCAACAGAAAAGCAAGAAAGAGAAAAGCAAGAAAGAGAAAATCATTATATATTTGGAAAGGGCTTGTTGAGATCTTTAAAATGAAACTAAGATTAATTTATTTTAGTATTATTATAAAATTATTAATTTTTAAATTAAATAAATAAGTATCAGACATGAAATTTTAAATACGGGGATCTATTTAACTTGCTCCATAAAAAAAATACAAGCATAATGTACGAATATGAATTTCCCACTGGAAATCAAGGAGGATTTTCTCAATTTGCGGACGAAGCTGGTTCTGTAGGAAGAAATGAATATGGTGGTTCTTCGAGAGGTCGGGATGGAACCGGTAGTTATAACGATAATGATCTGCCAGAATTTTAATTGTCTCTTATCATATTTTATGTTCGAGGTTTATGTTTGCGACCTATGGTATGTTGTATTAGAGGTTAATATTTGCTTTCTTGTTCTATTGATGTATGCTTTCACTGTTATTTCAGAATTTCTTCTTTTTTAATATGTTGTATTGCAGTATTAATATTGAGTTCATTTTAAAGCTCTCATCGATACCTTTATAATGTTATAATTTTTTTCCCAAATAAATTATTAACAATAAAATTATTAACGTAAACTATATCAAACATTATTTAATTTATATGGCTTTTTTGACAAAAATAAAAATAAAAAGAAAAACATTTAGAGAGTGTGGGTTGGAGCAACCCTCCAAATTTCACCCTCCAAATTAGAATATTCCTAGAATATTCTAATTTGGAGGGCCAAATTTGGAGGGTATGGTTGGAGATGCCCTTAGAAAAAAGCTGGAGGGTGCCTGTTTTCATGAAAAATACCTCCTATACTTTTTTCGTTGGAATTTGAGTTGTTGGAAGATGAAATTTATAACTTATAGATCATGTCAAACCGATAAGTGTAATGATATACTCTTCATAATAGAATTGACAACTTATCATGGTAAGATTAAATAGATTTTAAGTGATTAAATAATAATTTCAACAATTGGGGAGACTAATAAAAAAAAAAGAGTTACAGATTCAGTATATAGAAAACACTTAACTTAAATTAATTATGATGAACCAAATATAAGTGTACCATAAACTCATTTATAAGTAACATATAAGACTGATCTGTACATATTCAAACTATAATTAAATCCTCACCGAAGGAGAAGAAAAAAGAATTTAATACTCATAATATAAATTTCGCACAAGACATGAGCTTGACCTACAAACATACAAAAAGCCCCGTAATTATCCATAGAAGCCGTGTCACGTAGCTCTATTAACTAGCGTTACGTCTCACTTGTGGACCGGCAGTCTTCGCCGTAACGCTCGTTTCTTCCCCGCTATTCCTTAATATATATAGTATATATAATATATAATATATATATTATATCAAAAGAGTGTAGTTTTTACGGTACGCACTGCTCGTGTGTACAAATCCGGAGAGCGAGAGAAGAAGAGAGAGCGATTAGATCTCTGCTTTTTTCGCTCCCACACGCCCACAGCCGCTTCGCTGGCTAGCGCCCCCCCCACTCCCCCCCCCCCCCTTGCTTTGCTTTGACATAATAATGAATAATAAAAAATAAAATAAAAGCTGCCAAGTTCCTGGAGAGAGAATACTATCAAATCAAGAAGGAAGGCAGCAGAGTGCAGGATGGCGCGAGCTGTTTCCTGCTCGTCCTTGCGGGGCGCGGTGACGCAATCGCAGAGAAGACAGAGCAGCGCTAACCATCAGCGCAGCAGCAGCCAGCAGCCAGCAGAGGCGCAGTCCTCTCGCTTCAGCAGCAGGGCCAGGCGACCTGTGAAGCTCGCCCCCGCCAGCCGGAGAGGTCGCCGCGCGACGTTGCCGGCTTTCTCGGAGTTTCCTGTGCGGAGCTGAGAGGCGGCCACCGCCGGATTTCCAGCCGCGAGAACATCGTGTCGGAGAGCGGCGAGAAAGCGCCCAATATCGTTTACAAAGGCGGCGCGCCTGCAGAATCGTCGGGTGGATCGCCGTCAAAAGTTCACTAAGATGGCTTGGTCCCGATCCTAAGCAGTTCGCTGCTGTGAGATTCCTTTTTCCTGCTGCAAGCTCTCTCTATTGGTTTTGTTTGTGTTGTTTTGTTTGTTTGTTTGTTTTTAATTGGTTGCTTTGTTGCTTTAAATTTTATATTGTGGTTGATTGGGCTTTTAGGATGAGGGCTTGGGGAGTTGTGAAATTGAGCCACATGAGCGCTGCGCGAACGGATCGGGTACTGTTGTGATGGAGACGAGAGGCTCCTTGTTGCTGAGTACATGCCAAATGACACTCTTTGCAAGCATTTGTTTCACTGTATGTGCGCGTTTTCTTTTTTTAACGAATTTCTTTCTATTTTTTTTGGGTTTCTTTTGGGAGGTGGGGGGTGGTTTTGACTTTATGGGTCTAATTTTGGAGTTCATTTGCTGACGGACCATAATTAAGGCTGGTCTAGAAATGGGAACTTCTTATTTTTAGGAGCAAGATTCTTGGCTTTTGGTCTGTGTGGCTGTTTTTTGATGATGGTGTTGTTTTACCTAATGTCTTGTTGGTGCCTTAATGTTCTTGTTGATTATATTTGCCAACTTTAGTAATGATAACTCCAAGCCATTCTTAGTTTACCTACTAGCGGATGCTGCAAAGATGAAACTTTTTTGCTTTGCTTGTGTGAGTCATTAACTCCGTTTTTTTGTCCCTTTGATTTTGCTTGATCAAAACATACTCTTATTTATAAAAACTTTTCAGGTGTCTGTTATAAGAGACATAATTTCCATGATTGTCACCAGGCAATGCATTGCTGCATTAATTAAAATGTGCATTGGCTACTCATAGCACATGTCACGAAGCAGATGTTGCATCTTGCTGCAAATATCTGCTATTTATGTTGCTTGATTCAGCTCGTTTATTGATTTTTTTGCTAACTTTTTGGACAGGGGAAAATCAAACGATTGAATGGGCTATGCGTTTAAGGGTGCCGTACTATATCGCTGAAGCCTTGGATTATTGTAGTGCTGAAGGACGGCCTTTGTATCATGACCTAAATGCATATCGAGTTCTCTTTGATGAGGTAAATTGTGTTATAGTCACCTCAAGCAATAGAACTTACCGAGTTCACTTGATATTGAGAACCTGTTTCCTCCACTTATTTTGTCTTGCATGTTATTGGTTATATAGAATTTACACTACTGTTTAACATTTATCATTGAAAAGATACAGATTAGAGAAGACCTTGCTAGGTGCAAAAGCCCACAAGTGAAGGTGGATTTGATTAATTGGCTTGAAAAGTACTGACACATAAGGATGAACCTCATTTCAGCAACTTGTGCTCCTTTACCTGTCTTTCCAGCTTAATTTTTTTGTCATGAGGGTAATTCTGATGTCAATAATTTTAATTACCAAACCCACATGCAACCCATGGGCAAGACATTCCCATGAAACCCCAATACTAGACTATACAAGAGTTCCTCTGGAAGACGTTTTGTTCAGATGATTTTGAAAGTGTTAAGCTTTGATGAAGTTTACAGTTATCCCAGGAATTTGGCTGGCTATAGAGAGGTTTACAAACAGATTGTATTTGATAAGTTCTGTTAGCTATTCCACCTATGATATTTGAAGATGGACTGTAAGGTCGTGCAATATATTTTTTTTCTTCCATTGACATCTTGCAGAAGAGTTGAGGAAATCTACTCACCATTTTCCATACGAGCCAAGTCTTCTGGCTTCTCTCAACTGCTTAAGCCATCTTCTCCCATTTTCTCTCCACACACTATTTATTGTTCATCCTATCTGGTTTCTGACTAAATTTTCTCTTTGCTAATAAATTTTATTAATCCCATCCCCCACCCCACTCCCTCACTCCCTCCCTTGAACTAAACATTAATCGTTTTTTATAAGTACTTGTTTTGAAATTACAATACCTCACAATTATATAAAATCCTCTCAAGATGAGCGTTTGGAAAAGATATTCTATTAAAAGAGCATTTGGAAAAGATATTCTATTAAAAGTTGTAAGCACACACCAACAGCACCATTAAACTACTGTCCATAGTTGTTGTGTTGACAACTGCTATAGAATTTAGTTTTGTCCATAATCAGAAGTCACGTTCTCATTGCTCAATGGTTTATCTTATTCCAAGTTGGACCTTTTAGGCATCATTGAGGATATCATTGTTGACTTGTCGCAAAAAAATGAGTGAAGTACTTGTCAGAGAATAAAGTCTATCAGTGAACAAGCTTTAGTGAGCTTTCTCTATAGCCCTTTATTGAGAAGAATTCTAACTTTCTTCCGCAAAGGTTTGGAACAGTTATGCTACCAGTTCCTATTTCACTTATGCACACTGCACAGACACTAAAGGTCAGTAAGAGATTTGATTTTGGTATTAGCCCACAGTAATGCAGATGAAGAGATGTTTCTAATACAGATAATCTTAATCACCATAGGAAATTGTTTTTGCATTGCGCTAAAAAGAGTGAGTTCTTAACTAAAAGAAAAGCTCTGTTAGTGATCTTGTTTGATTAAATGATCTTTGAAGCCATTTGCATAGAACATATTGTCCCTTTTATCCACATTAGTTCATGTTACAGGTTTTAGTACCAATTCCTATTTTCACTTTAGATCACTATATTTTCACTTTATATCCAAGGCTTACAAAGAGACTGGCCATTATTTCCACTTTAGATCAAAAGAAGGCTTGCAACATATTGTCCTGGCAGATTCTTGGAACAGGTCTTGTATAAAGATACTATTTCCATTAATTTCACTCTAGATCAAACATGTTTTAATACTAGTTACTATTTGCACTTTAATGTACCAACTATAAAGAGATTTTAGTACCTGACCTCATCATGGTTTTCTTAATGATTAGGCTATAAAATAAATAAACAAGGCTTTAGAAATTGTTCTTCCGAGTAATTGTCCATTCTCTTCTGTTTTGTTGTATAAAATCTATTGTACTATTGGTCACATAAGATTAGGTGTATTATATTTTGGATAGTATATCTGGTCCATGCCGTAAGGGTTGAGATTTCTGAATCTATATCTGCTTGTCTTTTTTGCAGGATGGTGATCCACGTCTTTCATGTTTTGGTCTTATGAAAAACAGCAGAGATGGGAAAAGCTATAGCACAAATCTTGCTTACACACCTCCAGAGTATTTAAGAAATGGTATACTTTTATTACACAGGAGAATGATCATTTCACTGTTAATGTTGCTGAAGTATTTAAATAATAGATTGAAGGGTACACCTGCAGGTTGTGCAAAACCTTGTTGTTGTGCATACTGCTTCTCTTTTTAGTTTTTGTATATTAAAAAATGATTATGGTGATCGACACAGGGTATTAAGCTTTTTAACATTTTGATCATTTAACCCATGAAAGATGCAGAAAATTTCCTTAATTCAGGGCAAGCCTAATAAACAAGTACATATAGGTAGTCTACATCATTTAGTAGTCTCCCTCATGCTTTCTTCCTTAGACATGAAGGATAACTTTCCAGTCCAAATTGTCGCTAGTGTTCTGTCGTTTAGTAAAACACGTGCATGAGACATGAGACTGTTGGTTAGATGTATAGTAAAATTATTGGAAATATATAATTATTAGAAAGGATAATCTAAAAGCTATGTTGCACGGGTGGTATGGGTACGTGTATGAGACACGACAAATTTGAAAAAGGCACGGTAAGGGGACACAGTTATATAAATACTTATGTATATTGTATATTGGAATTAATAATTTATATGAGAACAAGGGTGAGAATGAAAATTCCTATAACATTTTTATCTTTCTTTTATTATGTGGATTATGAATTGGAAACCACTAGTTTTTAAACTAGACATCCAAACGACCTTTCAAAATCATAACTCAGAACCTGACCTATGTTCGATGAGTTTTAAGAAGTGGGTGTGAAGTGTAGGATATATATCCAAAAATTGTATGACAAGTGTTTTAAATTAAAATGTTATGTATAATTGAGTACATGTCTGAATAAATGTCAACATTTATGCAAGGAGTGTCCCAGGAGTTTGAGTACAGGTATGTGTCGAGTAGGGGTACGACTTCAGTTTAGAAATACCTAGTTAACATAGTCTAAACGTGATAAATTGAATGTAGAGTATCTACTGACGCATCTTATTTGCACAATAATGTAAATAATATGCATATGCTGTGGACATAAAGATATTAGTTCATTGTTTGGGGAAATCTCTGCGCTTCTTCTTGATCTTTCTTTAGCATCATAGTCAGGGGTGGATATCTATAGTTCCCGCGCTGGAAGTGGGGAGGTGGAGTTAAAATCTAAACAATTTGCACCCAAACTCTTATATAACCAATAGCCTATTGCATTTAACCCATTTGAATTAGCAGCCCATTTAACTTTTTAAACAACAAGGTCAATGGCCTTGAACAGTAAAAGCCTAAATACTAAACTCAAACAATAGGCAAAATATGATACAATGACGCTGATAAAGTAGTGTACCGAATGCATTCCCATAAAGTACTACAGTTTCATAATATTATACTATTATTTTAAGTGATATATTTGTTGTTTGCCTCCTAAGGGCATCTCCAACCCATCGCACCAAAATGGTGCAAATTTTGCACCAAAATGGTGCAAAAGTCACATCTAACAGTAATTCATCTCCAACCCACTGTACCATTTTTTGCACCAAAAAGGAATATTCTCAGTATCTTTCTTTTTATCTATTTTTATATGATTATTTTTTATTCCCTATATTTTTAACTATTTCAACAATTAACCCCACATATCAAATTTTATTTTTTCACATATTTTCCAAACAAAATGATTTATTATTTAAAAAATTAAACTAATAAAACAATAAAATATTATTTTATTAATTAAAATAACTTGATTGCTAAAATATTATATACCTATTATTGATATTGCCAAAATATTACATTCAAGAACACAACAGAAAATAAAATATAAGAAAATAATTAAACATTAACAACAATGTAAAAATTACAAATTTAGTATGCACTTAACTATCTGAATTAGTGTATTCCTCCCATAGATGATCTATCAATGTATTACGAAGCGCAATATAGGCATCTTTATCCTTCATTTTTTCGTAACGTGCAATAAATTGAGTAAATCTTGTAGTTTCATCTGCTACTATATCAACTTCTGGTGTTGGTGCTTCCCTCACTTCTTGAATTGGTGCATAAAGATCACGTTCATCCTCGATTATCATATTGTGCATAATAATGCATGCAGTCATTATGTCATGTAATACATGTTTTTTTCAAAAACGTGCTGATCCTGCCACAATTACAAATCGTGATTGGAGAACTCTGAACGCACATTCTACATCTTTTCTACATGCTTCCTGTTTCATAGCAAAATATTTTTTCTTACTACCTTGTGGCTGTTGGATTGTTTGTCCAATAGTAGCCCATTTTGGATATATATACCATCAGCTAAATAATAACCCATATTATACTCTTTTTCTTGAATAACATAGTGAGCGGGAGGAACAATACGTTGAGCTAGGTTAGAGAAAAGATTAGATGACTCCAACACATTGATATCATTATTGGTGTCTGGCATACCAAAATATGCATGCCATATCCAAAGATCATAATCTGCCACAACTTTAAGGATAATAGTTGGTGACCCACTACGTCCTGTGTATTACCCAGACCATACTGTTGGATAATTTTTCCATTTCCAATGCATATAATCAAGACTTCCTAACATTCCTAGAAAACCACATTTTTTACCAATATAGAGTAGCCTAGCAATATCGTTAGCGTTAGGTGTTCGTAGATACCGCTCTGCGAATATTTCCACCATAGCACGATAAAATTTTGTCATACTTTTAATTGCTATTGACTCACCTATTTTAACGTATTCGTCCGTAGCATCAGCTGGTAGACCGTATGCCAACATGCGAAAAACAGCTGTTACTTTCTGTAACGGTGATAATCCCATTCTACCAAGTCCATCATTTCGTTGTTGGAAGTAATAGTCATGATCTTTCACTGCATCAACAATACGAAGGAACAAACTTCTTGACATCCGATATGGATGACGAAACATATCTTCTCCAAAACGTGGATTATCGACAAAGTAATCTATGACCAAATTCTGATGCGCGCTTTTTCGATCGCGGTTGATCACTGCATGACCGGGAATCGAACCACCATGGATCGGTTGGTAGTTTTGTTGACGAAAATTGTTAACGAGGATCATGTTGTTGTTTATGTACTCACAAATTACTTCTTCGGTTTCATCAATCTCTGCAATGATATTGGACAGAAAATTATCATCATCCGAAGATGAAGATGATGATAAGTATGATGGACCTCCAGCATCGAAATTCATTTTTAAAGTAAGAAAAGAATGACTGAAGTATGCAGAAATGGAGAATAATAATTTTAACACAACAACGAGTAATTGTGTGGATGTACCTAATCTAGTATGCTATTTATAAAACTTTGCTTAGCTGTATACATTGAATAATGTGTAAAGTTGAGCTGATTTCAGGAAATGCTTTCCAGCTGTTATCAATTTGTCACAAAATTCAAATTTGCTTAGCTGTATACGTTGGACAATGTGTAAAGCTGAGCTGATTTTAAAAAATGATTCTCACTCGTATAAAGCTTTCACACAATTCAAGGAAAGCTGAGCTGTGTATACGTTGGACAATGTGTCAAACTGACCTGATTGGGGAAAATGATTCTCACTCATACAAAGCTTTCACACAATTCAAGGAAAACTGAGTTGTGTATACGTTGGACAATGTGTAAAGCTGATCTGATTTCAAAAAATGATTCCCACTCGTACAAAGCTTTCACACAATTTAAGGAAAGCTGAGCTGTGTATATGTTAGACAATGTGTAAAGCTGACCTGATTTCAAAAATTGATTCCCACTCGTACAAAGCTTTCACACAATTCAAGGAGAGCTGAGCTGTGTATACGTTAGACAATGTGTAAAGCTGACCTGATTTCAAAAATTGATTCCCACTCGTACAAAGCTTTCACACAATTCAAGGAAAGCTGAGCTGTGTATACGTTGGATAATGTCTCGTACAAAGCTTTCACACAATTCAAGGAAAGCTGAGCTGTGTATACGTTGGATAATGTGTAAAGCTGAACTGATTTTAAAAATTGATTCCCACCGACAACGTTGGACAATGTGTAAAGCTGATCAGTTTGTACAAAATGATTTAATTTCAAATGTTGACCACCGACAAATTCAAATTCAAATTCAAATTCAAACAAAAAAAACAATTTTGGATTATCTATAAATAACATTCACGAATTCTACTTCAAACCACCCAATTCGAAGTATTTCTTCAAAGTATTTCTGATCTCCAAACCAACCGTTTTTTACAAAAAAATGTCTGTTCGATCAACTAGATACACGGTTACTGAAGATGTGCTCCTTTGTCAAGTATTCTTGGATATTTCTCAAGACCCTATTATCGGTAGAAACCAGTCTCGTGATGCATTTTGGTCTCGTGTGGAGGACAAATACAATGAACTTCGAGATCAGCATTTTGAGATGCGTATGAGCCGATCAATTCGTTCTCGAATGGAAATCATAAGTAATGAAGTAAGGAAATTGAATGCGTGTTTGAGACAAGTAGAGAATCTGAATCCAAGTGGTGCTTCAGATGAAGATATTGTAAGTATTCTATTAATTATCGTTTGAATTTTATTATTATTGTTGAATTACATAACTTGATGTTCACTATAATTTGCAGTTAGTTCGAGCAAAGATGTTATTTATGTAAGAACCAAAGTACAAAAAAGGTTTCAAATTTGATCATGTCTGGAATATGGTTAAAAATTTTGAAAAATTCAAAGATGATGTCCCCACAGCAAGACAAGTTGGTCGAAGACAATCCCAAAGTGTGAACTTCGACTCATCACAATCAGATAATCCCACTCCGGAATCTTCTATATCAACATCTCCTGGACTGTCATCATTTACTCCATCTGAACGACCTATTAGGGTAAAAAAAATCAAATTGAAAAGGAAAAATGATGATCATGAGTCAAGTGTAGTGGACTCCATCGAGACCTCTAACAACCGACTTATAGACAGGTTAGACAAGACGAGCTTGGACAGGCAAGTAGCATTTGATATTGAACGAGAAAAGATAGCCATGAAAAAAGATAGAGATGAATGGAAAATTATAATGAAAGATTTGAATTCCATTGCTCATCCAAACGTGCGTGAGTACGTTCGAGCTCAACAGATTAAAATAATACAAAAAAGAAATTAACAAGAACAAGGGTCTGCTTCTAATTTTGGTAATTATTTCAATGATATTGGACATTCTAGCCCCGATCTACCAGATTATTGAGAGTTGCTTGTTCATCTTATGTAACGTCACCATGTTTAGTTTGTATTTTATGTTTTATTTTAATGAATTTTTATATTATGTGTGTTAGTTTTTATATGTTATGTATTTCAGATATGTAATTTATATTTGAATTATGTATTAGGATTGTTCTTTATATTTCATGGGACTTTACTTATAATGTCTAGATTTTAATATTATAATTAATAATAATGTCTTTTAAATTTTAGCATTATTTTTATTTTTAAAAAATAATTTATTTTGTCCAAATATACAATTGGGGTAAAATTATAAAATTTAAATATTATTGGGGGTGTTTTATATATTTAATGAAACAATTGGGGTCAAATTGTAAATATATAAAAGTATGAGATAAAAAAAATTGAAAAATAAAAAAATAAAAAAAAACAGTAATGGGAGTGATGAACAGTGTGACGCCAAATATGGCGTCGCGCTGTTCATCGCCGCCAAAATGCGGTAAAAACTGCCGCTCGGTTGGAGCTCCCACGCAGCGGCATTTTCACTTTTTGCCTCAAAATGCCGCTGTGTTGGAGATGGTCTAAGAAAATTTTCTCGGATCCATCACTGATCATAGTGTTTTAGCAGTTCCAACACTTCTCATCTCTACTCTTTACGGCTAAACTATATAATTATCTCTTAGATGTATAATTGTAAGGCCTGTAGTGAATGATAAATTCAACATAATAATTTGTTAGATCTAAGGGTTTCTAGGTGGTGTGGCCAAATTTCATAATTAAGCATGATTAGATGGAAGTACTACTAGGGTGTTCACCTCCTGAGTATTCACCATGGTGCATTGCATTCTATTTCATTGACTCATGCATCACCTCTGACACATCACTTTTGTTGACTGCTCAAATTTATTTATTTTTTAATGCAAGGTAAGGACATAACTGGAGATGGTTGGAACTTGGAAGACAGAGCCCGGAAAAAATTAAGAACCTGAAAATGAAAGAATTTCCTTTGAAAGGGACTATGACATGTCAATTAATAGTTTGAAGCATATTTGGTTTTACACTAGGAATTGTAACATAAAATTTAAGTTTGATTCGGGCCTTCTAATTTATCTATTGTGACCAAGTTATGTCATTCTTGATTGAGTATGTTAGATCTTCTATTTCTGACCATGATGATAGAAAAACAACTTATTCCAGAGAGGGATTAGTCAAGTTTTACTAATATTAAAACAAATTGGATACAATTAAATATTTCCCAATGTGAGTGTAAAACAAATTCTAACTTTCCTAATATACTCCTATTCTGATACTACCCTCGAGCTGAACCAGATATATCAATCATGACCCACTTATTACATAAAAGAGAAAAACTTCTTCAAGGTAATAATTTAGTTAAAATATTAATAATCTATTCATCCAAATTAACAAAAGACAGCAAGTAGCTATCTTGTCCCTAATACTCGGTAGTTGTATCACCTAGATGAAGCCTTGTCAGAAGAAACTAGTTGGACAAAAGTAGTCAATTGCAGTTTTCTTTTGGCTTTCCATGAAAATGATTATAACTTTATAGTAGCAACATACAGGTCCATAGTTCCATGAGTTACTTAAATAGTCCTAGCCCTAGAGATAATATGTGAATATCTGATTATAGAACATGCTTCTCCTTAGTTGCATGGTTGTATACAAAAGTTTTGTTCATTAAGCATGGTCAAAAGGAGATGGTGACAATGATTACCATTGGCCAAATAATCCAAATATACATGCTTTTCTACTTTTGCATTTGTTTTTGTAGTTTCATAAGGAAGAACTATAAATAGTAAAATAATATTTGCATAACTTAATCTATACCATCTTTGTAAGTTTTGAAAGGAAAGACTGGACGGACTTGTGTGGTCATGTTCATGGTGTCAAGTGTAGGTGATAAATACATGTGGTTGGCACCAATTTTAATAAGATGATCTACCCTAAATATCATATATAATATGTTAAACATTTTCTTAAAGGTCTTACTGAATAGGAATAAAGTAGCGATAACATCATGGTTGAAGTAAGGGGTCCTTAAGGTAAGACTTGAAATTTTTTGGAGCACAACACCACGAGGTAGCTGACTTGCCATAATTACGAGAGTGTTTCCCTCTGAAAAACATGAGAACACCTCTTTTTCAGCCTTTTTTTATTTGAAACTTTATGTAAAGGCTGGACAGTGTAATTTACACACAGTAGCTGGATTTGTGTCATCCATACACCTATGATACATGAGATTATTGAAGACTAAAGTTATTATGTTCTAGTAAGCATTTCCATTTTCTACTCTAAATATAAAAGAGGTTAATTATCATGAGTTGTAAAATACTAGTTTCGTTTGTTTTACGTACTAGTTTCGTTTGTTTTACATTTCAATGATGCTTTGGTTACCTAACTTAAATAAGATATAAATTTTATATGGATTTAGTTACATTAGTTATTACATAATTTTGATTACTTAATACTCATGCATTTGGTATCATTATCAATATTAGACTTTTCTTACCTACTTAAGGTGTGGTATGCTGACATGTGAATAGAGAGCATATGCTGATTTTTGAAGCTTATTTTTGATATTCCGATGTTAATAAAGTCTTACTTTACGTTGGAAGATCTGATAGAATTTCATATGATATGGCAGATAGTCGATAGTCTTACCTCTGGTTGCAGCTATTGTTATGGCAATTTAGTCTGGCTTTGGGCATCTTCTGTCATGACTTTCACAAGAAACACATTAGATAGGATAGATACATGATTGAGCTTGTGGGGACCTTGATAAAGCTCTCTTATTCATGTCAATATTAGTTATTTTTTCCCATGGCATCTCTTTTGTTTTGTTTTGAAGCTATGTATTTGATTCTTGTTTCTCTTTTGGATTACTGTGAGAAGCATTGAATTGGTGATGTTCTTACCTGTTCACTCTTTTTGCTATGTTTCCAAGAAAGTTGGAATATAGTGCAATAAAGAAAAAGCAGTAATGGTTTACTATCCTTTTTATGCAGGAAGGGTCACTGCAGAAAGTGTGATATTTAGCTTCGGTACTGTTCTGTTGGATCTTCTTAGTGGAAAACACATTCCTCCAACTCATGTAAGTCATTCTTATCGGCCCTGTTCTCATATTTGCTATTTTCTTTATTGTTTCCTTTCTTTTTTACTCTTATTTTATTCAAGCGGAGGGTGGTTGTTCATGATTTGTAACAAAGGATGTGGATGATACTATTGTTTTAATAAACATGTTTTTGATATAGCATTGTTTTCTTCACTGGTGATGGTCTATAAGGTTTTGTATAAAATCTTTTTGAAGTATTTTTATATTTTTCTGCATTAACGTATTCATGGTAAAAGGTAGTTATTTTATTCATATTCACTGTATCATGGCTCATATTGGCGGGTTGCATAAGTCAAGTTTTGTATTGTTGAAGTCATATTGAAAATATTTGGGGAATAAAGGACTCAAAATCAAACAATAAAGAGAATTACATAGCAGTTATGCTAGTGAATATAAAGATGAGAATACTTGAACATAATTTAGAACATATGGAAAGTCTTATCTTTTGTTGTATATGATAAAATTGTAAGAATCATGGTCAAATTATCCCAAACATTAACTATTAAGAGGCTGCAGAAATTAATAGTTTTAACATTAAATAATTTCCACATCTCTCTAAAACTTAAGCAAAGCACTTTGTGTAATCAACGTAAAAGTTGTTTTAAAGTGTTGTCTTGTTATTATTTTTATAAAAGATCAGGATATGTTTATGCAATTAGAAAACAGAAACAAATGAAAAGATTCTCTCTTGTGCTGCCCGACTGTCGTATGCCTACTTAAATAAAGATTCTCGAGGTTGAGCATAACTTTAATACTGGTTTTCAGTTTTCATATGTTGTAACACAATTATAAACATAACTTGAGTTTACATAGTGTCAATTTTTGAAGAAGTAATATTTTGAGGGACAAGTCGGAAGGAAGAGGAATGATTCCTCTCATTTTTCTTTTATTTGTCAGGGGTAAGGGCTCTTATTTATACTATACATTAATGTTCAAAAAGGCATGAGCGAGTAACGATTAATCGAATTATGCGCCAATTAATCAGATTATGTGAAATTATGTTTTTTTAAATTTTTTATTATTTATCATATATTAAAATGTTTAAAATTCATGAAAATAGAAAATATACTAAAAGACGAGCAACAAACATGCAATTGAACAATCAATAACTAGTTCACTACTTCAAGGTTCAATTCATATATCAAAATGAACTCGGTAGTCAAAATAAAAGTCATTACCTTAATCACTTAAACTAAAATTAAAAGTTCATGAACTCAAAAAAAAATCATTGACTACTTTATTGGGGAAAACGGTTTTGTCGGAGAGGTTCGTGGAGCATGGGAGCTTCATGGAGAGCCGAAGAATGTCAGAGATAATCGGGAAGCATCCATGATGGTAGGTGAGGGTCGGAGAAGATGTCGCCATGACTCGCAAGCAGCGATTTTTGGAAGACTCATAGGAGAGATCGAGAGAGAAGAGATCGGGTTTAGGGCCAGGACTTTTCTTTAAAAAAGGTTAAGCGGGTCACGTTTGGCTTAAAGAGTTTACCAAAATAAAAAAAAAAGAAATAACGCCCCATGAACTCTATTGGCGGATAACTAAAAAGTGGTCAATCATGCGGATGATCGCATAGTGGAGTGGTTTACCTCATCCTAAGCATTTTTAGCCTGCAGTGGTAATCAGGCTAGTTAGCGGCTGCATAATCTTCGAATGTTGCTATACATCATAGTGAAGTTATGTAAGAACAATTACAATATTTACATTGTATTAGTATACCAAAATTTGCAAATTTTGAGTATGTATAAGGTAGCTAATAATAACTCTAATTATTTCTTGATTTGTTTCTTGATCATATAGCCAAATTTGAGTTGTCATAGACAACTCATTTTTTATTCGGATGCATGATGTAATAGTCAGTCAAATAATGATTGATATAGTAGGAGAGTTTGCATGTGTTTGGAGGTGTAAGTTAGAAAGTGACTTGAACTATAAGGCACAGAAGAAGGTGGGAAAACCTATGATAATATAAAGCATTTGCAATAAAGGTTCAGTTAGACATTTTTGATGCAGGATTGATATGAAGGTTGGAAACTTGGAGATTATGGTTGGTGACTACAGTTCAATTATTGTCCCAAATCTTAGTGTACAATTTCATATTAGGCATTATTGCCAAGTAGAAAACCATCCTATGATCATACTAGTTGAGACATAGGTGGTCTCAATAATCTAATGTTTTGAGTCGGAGAAAAAAAACTTTTATATTTTTATTTGTAAACTATATCCTTGTAATTAAAAACATATCTTATTGCTGAAAGAATGTTTTTAAGGGCTTATTTGAGGAAGTAAAAGAAAAAAAAATTGTATTGTCCAAAAGTTTGGAAAAATTCTATGTGATCTTTTAAGTTCAAATTAGCTATCACATTTTGGGTTTATTTTCTTAGTTATTCATATGTTTCATATGATGGAAAATGAATAGAATAAGGATCATCAATAGACGTGGCAGGTTATATAGGATTAGGGCTCGAAATTGAGAAACATATACAAAAGTATTGACCGAGCTTCTATGATTGCTTATTACAAGTGGTAACGGACTAAAGCATTGTTTACTTAAGACAAGACATGATTATGAGTAAATGGTGAAGTCTGTATGAGGAATATAAAGTACAAACCTACAATTTTTTTAAAGTGCAAAATTTAGCTAGTGTAAGGGAAGAATGAAAGTTGTTTGCAGTTTACTATATCTTTTAGTTGTCTGAACTAAAACCAATTAACTTAGTAAAGACTAACCTAAGAAGTTACAGAAATTTGCTTTGGTATCATTACGATTTTTATATTTTTGTCTTTTTTCAGAGACATCTATATTGATTCTAATAGACCCATCAATGCGAGATTATTTTTATTGTTCACCAAGACGCAACAAACATCTACTCTAATGTAGTATAAATTGATAAGGGCTTCTGCTCGTCAGACCTAGCGCTCGGGCGCCTAGGCAGCGAATAGTCATTTTCTGGCAATAGAGAGGAATGGCATTTTTTTTGGCAAAGTTTCAAAATACTTCCCTCACCATTTTATTTGAGATGAATTTGGAAGTAGTTCAGATATGATCCATTTGAACTTCATCCATTCTCTTCACCCGTTGTGCTATAAAAAACACCTTTCTTGATGCGGCGAGTCCAATTCAGTGGCCATGTTTGCCGAGGCGCACGCAAGAATTAAGCGGGCAGCCTATGTGCTGTTTGGGCCTAGGCGATGCCTAAATGAGAGCCTAGACTGTTTTTTAGAACACGAATCTACTTTTTCTGCATGCCTTAAAAGAGTGATAACAAGAGTATCTAAAGTACCTAAATCTAATGAGATGTGTAAGATAAGTAAATGAACATAAATATGAATGATGGATTAAAAAAAATCATATTTTTGATTACCAAGAGCCATCTAAAATAAGTATTTGTAGACACCTTTTGTTTTCTTTGGATCATCTTTGTCTTGAAAAGTCAACAAAACATAAGAATCAACAATTATGCGCAAATTTTGATATGTGCACAACAAAAAAAATACACTAATCTGCATGCAACTTTATAGGCATATATTACGTGTATTGCTTGTTAGAGTCTAGTTCGAAGGATCTAGTTCAAAGCTTTATCTATTATGAACGTTGAGAAGAACACAGTGAATAATATCAATGGTTCCAAGTAAGAGACTGTCAACAAACACAACATAAGATGCCTAATCATAGTGTGTCCTTTTCTTTTACTTTTAATATTTTTTATTTAACATGGAGTAGTATTGTACATATGATCCGAAGAATTCACCTTTTCTTCTCTTCTTTTACATCTTTCTAGATTTGATGTCTATTTTATGTTAATTGGTTTCGTTCTATTTATTTTAACTTATTTTCCTTTTACGTCATTTGCATATATATTATGAGTCATTTACTTTATTGATTTATTTTTGGGTGTACGAGATGCGTTAAGAGTTTTATGGCTAATTTTGGGGAGGGAGGAAAGTCTATGAATCACTCATTTTATGTGCTTTTTACAAGAAAAAGACATTCTTCTCTCCGATCTATGTTTACATGGTTATTTTATTCACATTTTCCCCATCACATGAGACTTTTGGACTCATTTCCCTGGTGATAGGCTAAAGAGGAGATAATTTTCATTCTACTTTAGGGACTAATAAAATTACTTGGGCTACCTTAGGGACTAACAACCTTGTTTGGGAGTGACTATTGTCTTTTTAGGATAGTTACATATTGGACTAAGCCAGTCTCTAACCAAGTGTTTCTTTTCTTTTGTATATATCTACGAAATGAACTACTCTTGATTTCGATAGATTTAATCTTAATTCCTTTTTAAGTACTTTATGGTGATAAATTTAACAATAACATTTATATTGCACTACTTTGTATAACTGTAACTATATTCATTTAGCAAACCACTAAATGTGTTGTTATCTGCATCACGTATGCTTACCCCATAGTAATTATAATTTAGATTAAATAATTAAAATAATTATTGGAAAGGGACGGAGAACTAGTCAAGTAATTAACGATAAGAGTAGAATGGTCACTCAAGTTTTTTAGGTGTAACTGGATCAAATCCAGTAAGCTCATAATATCATTTACCCATATGCCTAATGCATATCACTCACAGAAATTTATAGAGAATAGATGCACCAGTGGTGTGGTGGCTGATAACATAGCCTATTAGGGGGGAGGGGTTAGTGAAGTTTGTTTGAGTAATTTCTGGGTGAATGGAGTTGGGGCAATACTTTCATAATTAAGTCCACTTTGGTTATGAGCTGCTTTTAGTGAATTCCCATGATGTCATATGTTTGTGGTGCGCTTAATGTGTTTACAGGAGTTACACAGTATACAAGTACTTGTGGCATCAATGAATTACAATTTAAATATTTTCAGATGCACATGCTCATACCTGAAGATCTCAAAATTACCTTTAACCACTACACAAACTTGTAGCCCATTTACATGTAGTTTTATATTATTTACTTTTTTAGTCTAGGTAAATAGATACTTTCCGCCCCTCGAAGAAAGTTTTTTGAATTGCCACTGCTCATAGATATGTGGGGATGTGTGTGTATTTGGGGGGGGGGGGTAGTTGCACATCTGTCGACCTCAAAATTACCTTTAACCACTACATAAGCTTGTAGACCATTTGCATTTTAGCACCCATTTTCATGTGGTTTTATCATATATATATATATATATATATATATATAATATATATATTTTTTTTTTTTTATTAGGTAAATAGATACTTGTCTTCTGGCCCCCAAAAAAGTTTTTTGAATCAGCCACCGCTCATAGTCATCTGTTTCATGTGCCATGTAAAATCTTAAGGTCTATTTATCCGGGTACTTCTATCATGAAGCCGTATCCGTACCCGACACGTATCCGACACTTATCCTTACCCAAACTTCATGGACTTGGATCTATGCATACATTTATTCAAATATGTAGTCAATTATATGATATATGTTATAGTGTTTTAGTTTAAAACACTTTCCAATCACTTCTTGCTCTTGGACATATATCCTTCACTTCACATCCATTTCTTGAAACTTGTTAGACATGGTACAGGTTCGTTTTAGCCCATACCCAAATTCAAACTATGATTTAAAAGGGTCATTTGGGTGTCTAGTTCAAAAAAGACTAGTTTCCAATTTACAATAAGGTGGACATCAACTTAAGTTGATAGGAGTCTTGCTCTCTCTCTCTATATATATATATATATATATGTGTGTGTGTGTGTGTCCCCCATGTCCCCTCATATGCGAATTGTGCCACCTCATTATATATATATATGTCCCCTGTGTCCCTGTTACCTACATTTTACAATTTTGCAATATCCCACACCCATACCGGTACTCATATTCGTTTCCATGCAACTTAGCTTAAGGTCATCCATGTGATGCATGCTGCATGTTTTGGTGGTGACCAAATTTGGATGTCCATTTATTTGTATTCATAATGATTCTAAACCTCTGCCTCCTGTAAAAGTTGCAAGTTGGATCATTGAAGTTAGCTAAGTGCATATCGTAGGGTATATTGCTTCCTGTGCAAGTATATACCTATTAAATAAAACTATGAAATTAGCTTTTTCATGTGCTAGTGTATGTAACTGATAAATAGGGTACTCTGTTGCCAATACATGTACTATACTCTTTTCTATAAATCGAAGATACTATGGTAATGGCTTATATAAAAACTCAAATTTTGTATCCGCTCGGTGATTAGGTTAGGTATTCAAAGTTTGTAGCATCTTTAGAGTTGTCCTTCTTTGGTTGATTCCAGTAGTGCCTCATGTTCGTGTTTAGCCATGCAACACGTTTTCATAGAGTGATTGTCTAGATGTCATATTTTTTATATGGATTTTGCATCAAGTGACTGTCTAGATATCATATTTAGGTATTAGTTAATATAAATTTTGATACGTGCGAAGTGGCATGTATGACTAAATGACAGCAGGATAGTATTCATGCAAATTGTTGTAAACCAATATGTGAGGGTATGAAAGTGATAATTTGGTCTGATCATACTCTTTTCATCTGAAATATATGTCTTATTTTTATTCCTGCAACGTTTTCTTATTCATCACTTTACTGTATGGAACTCTATGTGAACAGGCTCTTGATATGATAAGAGGAAAAAACATTCTGCTTTTGATGGATTCACACTTGGAGGGGAATTTTTCAACAGAAGAAGCAACATCACTGATGGATCTAGCTTCCCGGTGTTTGCAATATGAACCTAGAGAACGTCCGAATACAAAAGACCTGGTTGCAACTCTGGAACCATTACAAACAAAATTAGAGGTTAGTTTAGAGATATCGCTCTGGCAAATAAATGCATGAACATTTAGTTTTTAGCATGTAAGCATGCTAAAATAAGGTTTATTTTGAAAAAAACTTCATTTGAAATTGTGAAATTGATGCACTTCTTTATTGAGACATATATACTTCCCTACAAAGCAGTGGTGTGTCCAACACATTTAAACATGACGTGTGTGTTCCTATTTAGCTTAATGACTATCTCATCCCATTTTGACAGAGCTAATTAATTTACAGATCATTTTGAAAAATAATAGATATTTCATATATGAATAAAAAAGATATACATCTATACGAGCATACTTGCATACATACCTGTATATTTGTGTTTGGATTTTGAAAACTTGTCAGTGTCCGACACCCTTTCTCCGTGTGACCGTGTCAGAGAGATCAACTCTTGTGCCATATCTTTAACCCTTCATAGAGAACCTTCCTTTTTTCTCAGTTGTTAAAATTAGGTGAATGTTTTAATCTCCATTTTAAGTATCTATATTCATACCTTTTACATTATGTTTTAAATGTATGATCACAACTTTTTAACTATTTGCAAGTTGGCACGCATAAATCTCAGATAGAATGGATAATAATATATTTTAGATTGCAATTGGGTTCCCATCATTCAGTGTATCATAGATGGCTATCTAGTTACAATTTGTTCATATGTATAATATAGAATATTGGTTTCTGGTAAATTATTATTATCCAATAATAATGGAAGTTAATGTAAATCCCTTTCCACGTCTTATTCCAACATCAAAGTAATCTTCAGAGTGATATTAATAAGAAAATAAAAATTGTAAATATCATACCATAAATTAAGACCCTTTTCTTGCTAACCATAGAGCTTTTATGTAAGCTTGACCTGTCTAATATGTTTGGGTGTGTTTGCATGTGTGATACGTCACAACATCTCACTAAAATTTAAAACCAAGGACTTGTGTCAACTCAATCTTGCCCGTTCTTTCTTGGTTGCTTATTTTTCATTCTAAAATTTGGTTTCCTTAGCGTTTTTATAGAAACCTATGATCAAATCATGATTTTGGATATATTTTAGGGAAACTTAAAGGGGATAAATATATGAAAATGGAAGAAAACATAAACATCAAGTGGAGTTAAAGAAAAATGTGTACTTATTTGCAGTGATGTGCTAGAGAATGTAAGACGGTGTTTCTCAGACTTCTACAGGACTTTAGTCTTTAGGTGGTCAGATGTAATTAAAAAAACAATGTATTCATCTCATCTTTATACAGTCTTAACTTTCATTTGGAATATGACATGATTACACATTGCCCTGTAGGTTCCATCTTATGTGATGTTGGGGATTTCTAAGCATGAAGAGGCTCCAGCTACTCCTCAGCACCCGTTATCTCCTATGGGCGAAGCCTGTTCCAGAATGGACCTCACAGCCATTCATCAAATTCTAGTCACGACACACTACAGAGATGATGAGGGAACTAATGAGGTATGAATGAATACTAGATACATTTTTTTTGTTACTTGCTAAATGTTTTCCCTCCTATGATTCCTGCAATTTTCTTTTGGTCTATATGCTAAATGTTATTTGTTCTAATTGGAATTGGCATCTTTTTATTTTTCAGTTATCATTTCAGGAGTGGACACAGCAAATGAGAGACATGTTGGATGCAAGGAAGCGTGGGGATTTTGCCTTCCGAGACAAGGATTTTAAGACGGCAATTGACTGCTATACTCAGGTATGTAAATAATATTTACTATCATGTTTTTTGCCTCTGTTGATAGCAATGCATCTCTACTTAAGTAGGCTTCTTTTACCAAGTCTTGATATTATGATGTACTTTAGTCATAAATTACTACCACTGCTGTAGTTAACCTCCCTATTTTGTTAAGCAAGATGCTACCTGGTACCTAAAATCTGTGGACGGGCATATGACCCTTGCTTGGTCATAGCTCTGGAGAATATTTTAGAATGAAAACATCTGATGTCAGGAGGAATGGAGTCAGGGGTGTTTGCATGTTGAATCAAAATGGGGAATATAACTTATCAGTGTAGGTTATAGTATAAGAGAACAGGATTCACAAGAAAATTAACCGAATTCGTAACTTCTGTAATTTCACTCGTTTGTGAACACAGTTCTTAGACGTAGGGACGATGATCTCGCCTACAGTATACGCAAGGAGAAGCCTTTGTCATCTCATGAGCGACCAACCCGATGCTGCTCTCCGCGATGCGATGCAAGCTCAGTGTGTCTACCCTGAGTGGCCCACAGCATTCTACATGCAGGCAGTGGCCTTAGCCAAGCTCGACATGCACAATGATGCAGCTGACATGCTTAACGAAGCCGCAGGGCTAGAAAAGAAGAGGCAGAATGGAATGAAAGCTTCGTAAGTGGTCCTGTAAATTATAACAGGATCTTGTCCATGTTGTTTATTTGTTGACAGAGGGAGGTTGGTTCAGTTGGAATGTTCGTGTAGGCCTGTTGGTGAAATGTAATATAGGGAAAAGGCCTTTGGTTGCATCAATGCATTTGGGTTGCCCATTGCTGGTATAATTCGTTTGCCCTGATGTAAATGTTGGATAGAAAATTATAACATAAGCATGACTTTTTATAAAGTACTTTTTCTTTGTTTAGTGGTTGCGCAATTTAGTTATGTTTTCCCTCTGTTTTTTTTTTTTTTTTTTTTTTTTTTTTTTCCTCTTTTTTTTTTTTTTTTTTTTTTTTTTGGTTCAATGCAGTTCTATCTGACTTTTTAGGATTGCTGCTTGGGAGACTTGAATTAAGAACGAAAGTTCTTGAATTGTACATGAAGGTTCATGCTTGAGTCTTATTAGAGTTCACTTTTTGTTTTCCTTTAGATATTCGGACGAATTGCTGAGTCTATAGAGATTTCTTAGATTTCGTGCCTAGAGTTCACTTCTAGAACTCCTGCAACATGAAGTTTTTTGACTAATTCAAACAAATATCCTCTGTTCCTTTTCTTTCTTCTTCGTTTCTATTTCTTCTCTATAAACGTAAAGATCGTAAATTTGTTTGTCGTACTTGCTTGTGCGTCTAGTGGCGTCTCTCATGTTTAAAAATATCAATATGAGAGGCTTCATTTGGTATATAAATCAACGACGAAGTGCTCCCTTGTTTTTGCTTTAAAAATAAAATAAAAGGGCTTTCATTTGGTCCTAAACCTTCAACATCACTTTACATTATTACTCGCACTCAAATAAAACAATTGTTTTTTTTTCCTGTTGAATTCATTGCTGCATTAAAGCACAACTAAAGTACCCTCTCTCCTACATTATTACTTTTACTTTCCTTTTCTTTTTGACAACTCAAGGGTCCAAAAACTACTCATTCATGTACAAATTTTATTATTTACCAAAGCGCACAAGTCAGAAGTTGAGCCAGTTAGCCAAGGGAGACCACTGCTCCAGCCACGGGCTCCTCAGCTGTGTCAAAAATGTGTCCTGCCACTCCATTCCTGTCCTCGGTACCTGAAGCTCTGGCAAGTATACCGATCTGGCAACCAACGACGAATTTATCGTCGACGATGATGTCTCCGCCCCTCTCTTGATCTCCTCCTCCTCCTTAACTAGTGTTAGCTCATCATTATTATTCCCATCAACATCAAAACTAGTATGCGAGTTCTGAAAGTTGCAATCGAATTCTGAAGATGACACAGTATCTGTAGTGCATGCAGTGCTGCTGATTCCCAGCAGAAGCGCAGCCCTTGCATCCTCTTCCATTGCTGCTCGTTGCTCTAGCTCCTTTAGAGATGTTGCTTTTCTATATATCTTGCATAACACTATGTCCTCCTGCATATATTAGTTACTTTTTATAAAGTTTCCTTCTGAAGAGATATGATACATACAACAGGCTTACTTTATTACAAGGGAAAAATGCTTCCAGCCCCCAAAACGAATGAAAACAAGCTTCTCACCCCCAAGACTTTTTCAACGGGTGCTTTGCCCCCAAAAGTAAATTTTTTGTTCTCTGAGCCCCCAAACACAAAGCCCAATGAATTTCACACAGAGAAAGACTATAATACCCATTCTCTCTCTCTCTAACCCTGCAATCCCTCTGCTCTCCCTCCTCCCCCCCCACCTCTCCACCCGCCCGCCGCCGCCCTCCTCCTGCCAACTTTTTCAACGGGTGCTTTGCCCCCAAAAGTAAATTTTTTGTTCTCTGAGCCCCCAAACACAAAGCCCAATGAATTTCACACAGAGAAAGACTATAATACCCATTCTCTCTCTCTCTAACCCTGCAATCCCTCTGCTCTCCCTCCTCCCCCCCCACCTCTCCACCCGCCTGCATAGCCGACGGGAACAATCGACTGAGGTTTTAATGCTTCATGATTCTCTGCGAGCTGGGTTTCATGGGAGCGTGGGAGCGGGCGGGAGGACCTGTTCATGGGAGCGTGGGAGCGTGGGAGAACCTGTTCATGGGAGCGTGGGAGCGTGCGGGAGGACTCGCCCAACCCAAGAACAATAATAAGAAGAAGAAGGACAAGATTGATAGTAATTACAACCATGCCCCCTAACCTTGGTTGCTCCTGCTTTGGATGCTACAAGAGCTTCTGGGCTCGTTGGGATGCCTCACCCAACCGCCATGTCATCCACCTCATCCTCGATGCCTTTGAAGAGACCCTTGAATCGAAGGAGGCCAACAGCAAGTAGAAGAGGGGGTTGAAGAGTAAAAAGATTGATTTTGATGAGGTTTTGGCGAAAGAGATGAGCGCCCATGAGGAGAAAGTTGATGATGATGGCCATGATGATGGGTACAGACATGTTACTAATTACCAACGCTAAAACTATTACCACCAAAAAAACTTTAAAATAACCCAAATAAAAATATACCGGTTGCTTGTTAAAATTACTCCCCCATTAGAATGTCCTACATTGGTTGTTAAGGTTATATTTTGGTTGTTAATGTTACGCGTTTGTTGTTAAGGTTACGTATTGGTTGTTAAGGTTATACAGGTTGCTTGTTAAGGTTACGGGTTGGTTGTTAAGAATATGCGTTGGTTGTTAAGGTTACAGGCTTGTTAAGGTTACGGATTGGTGTTAACGTTATACGGGTTGATTGTTAAGGTTACGAGTTTTTGCTTGTTTAACAACCAACTCGTAACCTTAACAACGGGTTGGTTGTTAAGAATATGCGTTGGTTGTTAAGGTTACAGGCTTGTTAAGGTTACGGATTGGTGTTAACGTTATACGGGTTGATTGTTAAGGTTACGAGTTTTTGCTTGTTTAACAACCAACTCGTAACCTTAACAA